CATGCGTTCGTGAAACCTATGTGTATCTTCCACCTTTGGAACAGTATCCCAAGGCGCCGAAGCCATCCTCTACGACGTCTCCTGCCTAGCGGCGAACCACCCCTCCTTGCTCCACGAACTCCCGGACGTCCTGGTACAGCTCCAATCTTCAGTGCAATACTACATAACCGCAGTCTTCCAGCGCCTCTCGAAGGAGAAAGTCATAGCGGGCCACCACTACTTCACCCCAGACTTTAGCACCCCCGTATTCGACTTTCGCATCACGCCGGATATCAAGAGGTACTTTAGCGGGAAGAGGGATGCTGGCGTGCCGGCAACGGCGTATGCCAGCAAGGGCGCGCCAGGACAGGAATACGGAGCGGTGGACTGGGTGAGACTGAAGGCGGGGGATGAGGCTGTTGAATCGAAATTGGCGTACAGAGTGCATACCGCTGGAGGAAAGGCCCCTCCGAATTGCAAGGGAATGCAGAAGAATTTCGAGATAGAATATGCGACCGAGTATTGTTTGTTTTGCCCCCTCCTTGCTACCACGGTGCATTTGTGTTTTTTTTTTTTCTTTTTTTTTTTCTTTCGACAGGCGGGATGAACAGGGGCTAATGCGGGATTGTGGATAGGGTTCTACGACTAAATTGCGCGAGCCACGGATAGTTCAAGTGTACAGGTATGAGACGAGACGAGACGAGACGGAATGAAAGGCTCATGCATCGTGGACTTTTATTGCACCCGTGGGGTCCTTTCTCTCTCGGCTCTAATGGTGGGTTTTCGTTGTGAATTTTCCCGTCCGTGGGTTGCCTTGGGAGGCTGGGATTGATTCGGGAGGTTGGTGTTCACGGTCTTCGCCATGAGAGAAAAAAGGAAAGGAAAAAAAAAAAAACATTATTATGAGACTGCAGCGGTCAACTACCGGTCCATCCATCCTGTCATTACCCATTCGCATTGCTTTGTAGACTATCTATGATAATACCCCTTTCCTTCACCTTTGTGTACTGTACTCTTTTGCCATTTTCTCGTTTGCCCCTTCTACACTCTTTTTTTTGCCCCCTTCCACCTTATATTTTAAACCATGTTTTATTCTATTGTAACTTACTTTTAAGCATACCATTTTACATC